CCCACTGCCCCTTACTGCCCCCCACTGCCCCTTACTGCCCCCCCGGTGTGACCCCCGTCTGCCTCTGTGTGTTTCAGATGAGTGTGGCTCCGACTACGTCAGCGAGCTGCGTTTTGCTCCCAACCAAACCAAGGAGATGGAGGAGAAGATCATGGAGCTGCACAGAACCTACAGGTGGGTCAGCGCCACACGTTCAGCGCCGACAGCGTCGCGTTCACACTCTAAACTGTGCGTCTGTGTTTCTAGAGGAATGAGTCCCGCTGAAGCAGAGATGCACTTCCTGGAGAACGTCAAGAAGCTCTCCATGTACGGAGTGGACCTCCATCACGCCAAGGTAAGCATTCACACAGCCGCAGAACACGAACACACGTGATGACGGGGTTCTGCTGAATGTTCCCCTGTTTGTGAATCCATAGTGAAGCTGCATGCTTCACACTGATCACGCTGACCTCAGGACCAGCAGACGATGCACCAGCTGGGAGTCACGCTCATGCTCATGTCCAGGTGTTCTGTGGTGCTGCTCGTGTGGCTTCATCACCATCGTGTCTGCTCTGCCGTGTGTCGAGTTCTTCTTCAGCCGTCTGTGCAGCAGCAGCAGCAGACGTTGAGATGTTTGGTGAATTCACTGTAGAGCTCCTCTGATCTAAACCACTTCAGCTTCATCTGGCTGAACATCTGGCTGCTTCCTAAATGTGCTCCAAATGTCAGCATCTGTCAGATTCTGCAGGAAACAGGATCAGCTTTCAGGGAAACGGTCTTCATCATCGTATGTGCTGCATTAAGTGGACTGATAGAAACAGGCTGGGCTGTCCTCAGATGAACACATGAGCAGAGCGTTTCAGTGCTGCTGATGTTCTGATCGATCACATGACCTGCTTCCTGTCCACGATCAATGACGTGACCGTTACAGGCCGCTGCTATGGATTTTTCACTCGTGGCCGTTTTCCATTGGCTCAGTGTGAAGATGGAGCCGCTGCATCCTGCTCCATCACATCTGATCCACGGATTCCTGATCAATCACCACGCAGACACGCGTTGGACGGATTTAACCGTCTGGACCCCAGAACCGGCCTTTAAAGTCGTGTTGCCTTTAACAAATCACCACGATGGCGCCGTAAGCTTCAGCTGAGACCCAAATCCTGACAGTTCCTCAGAATCACTTCATTCTATAGGTCTCTGATAAAAAGGTAGAACCAGAACCTTCCTCCTCCTGGTGGAACATGTTTCTACAGCTGATGGTGGAACATCTTTCTACTGATGATGATGGAACATCTTTCTACATCTGATGGTGGAACACCTTTCTACTGATGGTGGAACATCTTTCTACATCTGATGATGGAACATCTTTCTACATCTGATGGTGGAACATCTTTCTACTGATGGTGGAACATCTTTCTACA